GAACACTGAAATGGTGCAATCAGTGAGGGGACAAGTCCTGCTTGCACCACCGGTGGTCACGTGGCACACGTGCAAATCTGGGCACCTCCGTTGCGGAGATATTTTATAGTGAAATATTCAAATGTACCTACATAACTTTTTCAGTTTAAGTCCGATTGGGCTAGAATTTGGTGGGTGGATGAATTGTTAAGCGACATGAACGAATGCGCCATGTTTGTTGCAGTGCGCCACGTTTGTCTCAAAGCGCCATTTTTGCCGCAAAGCGCAGAACGTGCGTAACTTTGTCGAACATTGGACGATTAGGATGCGCTGTAATTAAGGGATGGCTGCTTAAACGGCAGATATGATTGCACCACACTTGCCGCAGGGCGCCATATTTGTCTTAATGCGTCAGTGTTAGCGTTTTTCTTACGGCGGGCGTTTTTTGCGGCGGTGTTTGCGTTTTTTTTTCGGGGTTTGCGTTTGACGGCGGGCGGCCGTTTATGCGTTTTTGGCGGTGTTTGCGTTTGGCGGCGGGCGGCTGTTTTTTGCGGCGTTTTGCGGTTGGCGGCGGGCGTGCGTGCGTTGCGGGTGTTTTTTTTTGCGGCGGTGTTTGCGTTTTTTGCGGTTTTTGTGTTTGGCGGCGGGCGGGCGGGCGATGCGGGTGTTTTTGCTGTTTGCGTTTGGCGGCGGGCGGCCGTTTTAGCGGCGGTTTGCGGCGGGCGGCCGTTTTTGCGGCGTTTTGCGGTTTGCGGCGGGCGGCCGTTTTTTGCGGCGTTTTGTGGTTTGCGGCGGGCGGCCGTTTTTTACGGCGTTTTGCGGTTGCCGGCGGCCGGCCGTTATTTGCGGTTAGCGGCGGGCGGTCGTTTTTTTGCGGCGTTTAGCGGTTTGCGGCGGGCGGCCGTTTTAGCGGCGGTTTGCAGCGGGCGGCCGTTTTTTTGCGGCGTTTTTTGTGGTTTGCGGCGGGCGGCCGTTTTTTTTGCGGCGTTTGCGGTTGACGGCGGCCGGGCGTTATTTGCGTTGTTGCGGTTTGCGGCGGGCGGGCGTTTTTTGCGGCGTTTTTTTTGCGTTTTTTTCTGCGGTTTTCGGCGGGCGGGCGATTGTTTTTTTGCGAAGTTTGCGTTTGCGTTTTGGGCGTGCGTTTGGCGGTGATTGCGTTTGGCGGCGGCCGGCCGGTTTTTCACAATTAAAGTCCCAACCTTCGGATCCGCAGAGCTGTTCGACAAGCGCTGCCCGGGCCTTAAAGTCCCAACCTTCGGATCCGCAGTGCTGTTCGACAAGCGCTGCCCGGGCCTATCCGAAGGTTGGGACTTTTCAATGAGACAATCACTATTCTTTAGAATTGTGATTTTCTATTGAAAATCCCAACCTGAGCTACCTCTCTAGGGGGGTGTTTAGCGTTTCGGCCGCGATTTTGGACATTTTGATTGGGGCAAAAACGGCTAGTTAGATTTTCTTGCCATTTTCAGCGTTTGGTCCCGTGTGGGGGAGCTACCTTGTGGCAAAGTTACAAAAAATATAATTGACACGTTTTGGGGTAATCGGCACGTGCATTTTCCCATAGGGTTAACATGGGGGAAAATTGGAAATTTGATTTGCGAAAAATTTCGTCAATTATATTTGCTAATATTTTTAGGATCGGATCTAGGGCTGGCACCTCACCTTCTGGGGGTAATTATTTAAAAATCATAGGGTACAGTTTCGGGTAATCTTGACGGACAGTTACCCCATGCTGAGCCTATGGCGATTTCGAAAAATTATTTTCAAATCAATTTTGCCAGAAATTTCCACGTTAGATTTTGAAAAAGTTCCAATATGTTGTGCACCGGGGTGTCGGCTACCACATGGTATGGGTCAGATATGGGGCGATTGAAAAGCACGTGCCACGTGCAAACGTGTTTGATGGGGTAACCTCCGGGAAAATCCGACATTGGCCAACTGGGGGTCCTATGGCATGGAAACGACTTCATCTAGCGACACCAAATCAACGCAGCCGGTGAGCAGATGACTCCAGCTTGTCGCACTAGTGGTCACGTGGCGCACGTGCAATTGCACGTGCCGTGGCACGTGGTCAATTTTGGTGCTTAAATATACTAGCATTGTGAAATGCAAGGAATGGGGGAAATAGCCTTCAGGCCGTCAGTTTTTATGATAGAGTCGATCTGAATACGGGTATAGACACAAAATGAACGGTGCTAGAAAACTGCTATCTCGGATTTTTTGTAAAATGAAAAATTAAGAATTCTAGGGAAATTATATATTAGAAAGGTGAAATTTCCCTAAATTTTCTCGTTTTTCGAGTTTAGCCGTCCACTGTTCATCAACGGTGACACCGGCCGGGATCATCTTTTACATGCTGATGGCTACGTCGATGGGTCATTACGTGGCGTGAACGGTGAAGCTGTCACAGGTCCGGCACGTGCCACGTGGCCACGTGTTTGAGTGGAGTACCTCCCAGATTATCGTGTATAAGCCAACTTGTGGCCTTATAGCACGAAAACAGCAGCAGTCAGGAAGCCTGAAATGGAACAATCGGTGAGGGGACAAGCCCTGCTTGCACGACCGGTGGTCACGTGGCACACGTGCAAATCTGGGCACCTCCGCTGCGGAGATATTTTATAGTGAAATATTCAAATGTACATAACTTTGTAAGTTTAAGTCCGATTGGGCTAGAATTTGGTGAGTGGATGAATTGTTAACCGACATGAACGAATGCGCCATGTTTGTTGCAGTGCGCCACGTTTGTCTCAAAGCGCCATTTTTGCCGCAAATCGCAGAATGTGCGTAACTTTGTCGAACATGGGACGATTAGGGTGCGCTTTGATTGAGGGATGGCTGCTTAAACGGCAGATATGAATGCACTACATTTGCCGCAGGGCGCCATATTTGTCTTAATGCGTCAGTGTTTGCGTTTTGCCTACGGCGGGCGTTTTTTTGCGGCAGCGTTTGCGTTTTTTCGGGGTTTGCGTTTGACGGCGGGCGGCCGTTTTAGCGTTTTTGGCGGTGTTTGCGTTTGGCGGCGGGCGGCCGTTTTTTGCGGCGTTTTGCGGTTGGCGGCGGGCGTGCGTGCGTTGCGGGCGTTTTTTTGCGGTGGTGTTTGCGTTTTTTGCGGTTTTTGTGTTTGGCGGCGGGCGGGAGGGCGATGCGGGTGTTTTTGCGGCGTTTGCGTTTGGCGGCGGGCGGCCGTTTTAGCGGCGGTTTGCGGTGGGCGGCCGTTTTTTTTGCGGCGTTTTGCGGTTTGCGGCGGGCGGCCGTTTTTTTTGCGGCGGTTTGCGGCGGGCGGCCGTTTTTTGCGGCGTTTTGCGGTTTGCGGCGGGCGGCCGTTTTTTTTGCGGCGGTTTGCGGCGGGCGGCCGTTTTTTGCGGCGTTTTGCGGTTTGCGGTGGGCGGCCGTTTTTTGCGGCGTTTTGCGGTTGCCGGCGGCCGGCCTTTATTTGCGGATTTGCGGTTTGCGGCGGGCGTCCGTTTTTTTTGCGGCGTTGCGCGGTTGGCGGCGGGCGATGCGTTTTTTGCGGAGGCGGTGTTTGCGTTTTGCGGCGGACGGGCGTTTTTTGCGGCGTTTTTTTGCGTTTTTTCTGCGGTTTTTGGCGGGCGGGCCATTGTTTTTTTGCGAAGTTTGCGTTTGCGTTTTGGGCGTGCGTTTTGCGGTTTTGCGTTTGGCGGCGGGCGGGCGGTTTTTCACAATTAAAGTCCCAACCTTCGGATCCGCAGTGCTGTTCGACAAGCGCTGCCCGGGTATAACGAATCTTTCAGGGCGGTTGACACGTACTACGAAACCCGGCAGGACCCCTGCTGGTTGAACGGACCTGACCTGACCCGACCTGCCCTAAGTGCATAGAGACATAAACTGTTGTCAATATTAGCAAGATATTCGTGATCAGCGCCCCGGAAAACCCCTTGGCAGCCACAATTTACGACGTTCTAACAGGTCCGATTTTCCAAACATTTGGGTCATTGACCTGACCTGGAAGGTCAACCGATGACCTAGGACTTAAAAATTGCGTATCATCGGCTGCCTCTCCTCACGGGTAACACGCTCGTTTTTCTGCAAATCTCTACGTCGATCAGGGACCGAATGGCAAGGAGGGCAGCGGACCCCCCCCCCCCCTTTACGATCGCGGCTGGCAAAACACCAATACGGGCGAGGGTTGAAGTGATGCATATTGAGTATATCCTCAAATCCGTAGCCATTTGAACTTCCCGCTGACAGACAGAACAGTGTCGCCATATGGACAGAACCGTTCACCGACTGGCCGGCCACCCAGCGGCCGTGCCGACGACTCGCCCGCAGGCCGCCGATGCAGGCGGTCAGAGGCAGTAGGATAATGTACGGACGACTCATCGGATGCAGACGGTCAGAGGCAGTAGGATAATGTACGGACGACTCGTCGGATGCAGGCGGTCAGAGGCAGTAGGATAATGTACGGACGACTCGCCGGATGCAGACGGTCATAGGCAGTAGGATAATGTACGGACGACTCACCGGATGCAGACGGTCAGAAGCAGCAGGATAATGTACGGACGACTCGCCGGATGCAGACGGTCAGAGGCAGTAGGATAATGTACGGACGACTCACCGGATGCAGACGGTCAGAGGCAGTAGGATAATGTACGGACGACTCACCGGATGCAGACCGTCAGAGGCAGTAGGATAATGTACGGACGACTCACCGGATGCAGACGGTCAGAGGCAGTAGGATAATGTACGGACGACTCGCCGGATGCAGACGGTCAGAGGCAGTAGGATAATGTACGGACGACTCACCGGATGCAGACGGTCAGAAGCAGCAGGATAATGTACGGACGACTCGCCGGATGCAGACGGTCAGAAGCAGCAGGATAATGTACGGACGACTCGCCGGATGCATACGGACGACTCGCCGGATGCAGACGTTCAGAGGCAGTAGGATAATGTACGGACGACTCGCCGGATGCAGGCGGTCAGAAGCAGTAGGATAATGTACGGACGACTCGCCGGATGCAGGCGGTGAGAAACAGTAGGATAATGTACGGACCACTCACCGACAGGCCGCCGATGCAGACGGTCAGAGGCAGCAGGATAATGTACCAGCCGGCGCAGAAGCCGGCCAGAACAAAACTGATAAACACCAGAATCGCCAGCCAGATCAGACCCCAGAAGACGCATCCGACTGAGCCCGCGCCGCTGCCCATCGCGCTGACAGGAATCGGCAGCAGATCGAGGACGGCCAGTCGAATCAGTACCGCATCTAGGGAGAGTGGTCAATGGAATCAATATAACATCGAAAGGGAAGGCCTGGGCCAGTCGAAATGCACTGCAGCGCCGGGGGGGGGGGGGGTCAGTCGAATCTGAAAAATCTAGGGAGTCAATCGAATCTAACACATGGTGGTAGTAGTGGGGTCAGTCGAATCTAAATCATCAAGGGCTCAATCGAATCTAATACGTGGAAGGGGTCAGTCGACTCTAAAACATGGTGGGGTCAGCTTAATTAACCCGCGCCCGGTAGGGGGGCCGAAACGGCCCCCCTGTCCTTTTCCGTCGATATCTCCTAAACGGCTGGAGATATCGCCACCAAACTTTCAGGACCCCTCTGGGCATCAATTTTACACATTGTGACACAAAATTTTCCAGAGGCTTTGATAGGTTGGCCACAAATGACGTCAGAATGACGTCATGTTCTGTCATTTTCGACCGAAAAAAGACCTTCGCGAGAAGACCTGTCAGGCCTACAGCTTTGAAGATACAGAAAAAATTATCAGACATAAACGGTGTAGAATTGACAGGTCTACAAAACTACTATCTCGGTTTTTTGAAATTGTTGAGTTTTGACGCCCAAAATTCAAAAAAGCATTTTTTGGCTATATTAGCCAAAAAATCAAAAAAGTTTTTGAGTTTCGAAAAACCGGAATACATGTGATAGTACCTACCGTCTTCTATCTACATACTGAATTTCAGATCAATACCTCGTTTTTTGGCCAAGTTATAGCAAAAAAAAACTTCAAAAATGATGACCTCAAATTTTTAAACTCAATTCTTGGCAATTCTAGACCTCGTAGAGCAAAACAAAGTCCACCATTAGACTGCCCGTGACGAGCTGCATCGAATCGATACCCATTTTATGCAAAAATATCAACTTTGAAATTTGACCTAATTTGACCTGACCTTGACCTGACCTTCACCAAACGTGACCAAAGCTGGCCCCAAAGGCTGCCTAACCCACATAATCGCATTTGTCATGTAAAATGGACCATAAAACATGTATCACACGACACTTTCATATTGTGACCCCCAGTGACCTGACCTCTGTGACCTGACCTGGTATCAGTGACCTCAGATAGCAAAGTATGTGTTTGACGAACAATGTACCATCGATGGTTTTCAATAAAGTACCAATTTACTCGAGTCTCGATTTCACAACACATTTCTTGAAATGCCTGTGAACGATGAAAATCCCACCTTTGACCTGACCTGTGACGTCATCGGTTTGACCTAGGTCAATGAAATTTGGTCACAAGGTAGTTCCCGGGTGGGGCTATCGAACGCCGTTTGAATTTTGAAAATCGGCCGGTAAATTTCCGAGATCTTAGGGGGGCCGAAACCCCCCCCCCCCCACTACGGGTGGTAGGGTCCGCCGATAGCCCTACGGGGCGCGGGTTAACCTGCGCACCGACGCACCGCGCACCCGCACACCCCCCGAGGGCTTACGTAAATAGCGGAAAACCGCAGCGCTACGAAATACGAAATTCGGCATGATTATTTCCACTTCAATTTTACACACGATGTGCAAGTTTGAGCCTCCTACCTTTTCAGTCAGGTCACCAGGTCACAGTGGTCACTTGGAATGACCCGACCTCCAATCACTTTTTTGCAACTTTGCAACCGTGTCAGAGCTACAGTCGACTACAGATTCCTTTGAAAGTTGCAGGATGTAATGAGGTCTTTAGTAGTTACAATGTGTAGGTATATTGTGAATTTGATATCGAAGACCTATGAACAGGCCAATTTCTTGGCCTACCGTTACAAGTGAAAGGGGGAAAATTGTAGCACGCTACATCTTGACCATCTAACGTAGTATCTTTTCGGCACGGCCGGCCCGGTGACGCGCAGCTGAGCAGAGCGCTGCCGCACGCTTCCCTCCCTTGTCATTATTCCCTCCCTCCTTTCACCAGTCCCCAGGTCCACCCTCCCCAATCATTTCTCACTGTCCGCACAGAATAGGCCGCCATTAAACTCCAATTAAGACAAGCACCTCTGAAGACAGTCACATCAGGATGAGTCATTGGTAGTCATTACAAAGCAGCTGAAGCTACAAGCAAACGTCGGCACACTGTGAGACCACGCGCAGGCTTAAGGCACGTAGCACATTGGGTCTCACGTAGCCATGGTAGCACAACAGTGCGTCTCACTGCAACGGAATCTGCTAAACTTAGCAAACAGCCTCCGAAACAGACGTTAGTTCAGGACGTCTCCACTGCGGACAGAAAGCGCTGTTGTCCGAAACAAACGTAGCTCAGGACGTCCCCACCGCGGACAGAAGGCGCTGTTCTACAGACCCTCCAAACCAAGATGACGTCAGTGGGCGGAGCAAGAGTGACGTCACAAGGGGCGTTGCCGGCAGACGAAACGGAAGGAAACAAAAGTTTGAATAAAATGAAACTGAAGAATCAAAATTAAAACTCAAAAATCACCAACCTTTCGGGGATTGGTTTATGCCAGCGACTACTAAGATGATAAAGCACTCAACACGAAGACGATTCGACGGCCAAAAATTGCAGACACAGAGGAGCAAGGTGACTAAACAGGAGAGAGGGCGCCATCTTACGGGCCCACCCACAAAAGGAAGGCAGAGGAAGATGACGGCGCAAGGGCGTGGCAGTCACCCAGGGCCTCGGCTAAGGAATTTTGACTGGTGGGCCACTTGGGCAGCGACATGGACTAACCTTCGTAGCCATAGCCCGCCCCCCCCCCCCAATTTTCGAGTTCTCGCCAGATATCGGCCACTTTATTCTGCAAAAAAAAAAACGTCAGGATGGCATTAAAAAATGTAAAAAAACGGGGCTCCCCCCTCCCCCCCCCCCCCGACTCTTCAGAGAGGTGAGAGTAGGGACGCACGCACAACCCTCTCAGTGGTGATACTCCGGCGGTGCACATAAAATCGTACAAGTATGCACAAAATATTGACGCAGATTATAAAACTTTGGACGATTACTTACGGCCGGTCGGATTAAAAATCAGCGAGCCCTGAGTGGATCGCTCGCCGACTAGTCGGAGAGTCGGAGAGTCGGTCGGACGGGATCGGACGTTGTCGGGTGGATCGGGAGGAATTGTGAACAGCACGAGTGCAACTTTATATATAAAGTGGGTTGTAGCAGGAACCCCAAAAGGGGGTTGTAACAGCAACCCCAACATCTCTGAAAATGATCATTAAGCCTATTGGTGTCGCATGGAAAAGAATTGACTCAAAAGCCCAAGCGCACTGCGCAAACCTAATATTTTCTTTAAAAAAGTTATGTACACATCTGGTGAACAGTGTCCCAAAGTTCAGATTTCTCTTGGGTGTCTGAGTGGAAAATTCTAGCCACCCAAAATGTGAGAGTGGAAAATTATCCATTCTTATTCTTGAGTGTCATCTTCAGCTCAAATGAGAGATTTTTAGAACGCTGACTGTGAACGGTTCGAAATTCGTCCGACTGGTCAGATGTGTGACTGCAAGCATCATACCGGTCGTGAAGACGCATAATATAGCTTGCAGATTTCAATCGGCTGGAAGTCGCCGACACTACCTCTACATAGTCTAGTTTGACTAGCTTGTATCGTGTCTATCGGCGAGCCGTCTGAGATCGCTCGCAGGCTTATCCCCGACCGTCTGAACTGGTCTGTTCTTTATTCGCAGTTTTTCTTGTAACCGACTCGTCTGCGGCAGATGCTTATGTGACTGCAACCACTCGATCGATCGGAAAGCTTGCAAGAACTCTCGCAGACCTCGATCGGCTGGAAGCCGCCGACACTATCTGTAATTGACAGAGGCAGATGTCTTTCACGATTATTGCATAAAATTTAAAGCCTCGGTCACACTTCACCGGATTGGACCAAAGGACGAGAAACGGACGAGAACTGTCAGCGTCCGGTGATGTTCGTTTGTTTCCGTTGGACGTCCGTTTGTCATCCGTTTAGGTATATCCGTTCCATGTCCGGTGGTGTCCGGTTGAGCACACCGGACACAACCGGACATGGAACGGATATTAACGGATGAGAAACGGACGTCCAACGGAAACGAACGGACATCCCCCGGACATCACCGGACGCCGTCCGTTTCTCGTCCATTGGTCCAATCCGGTGAAGTGTGACCGAGGCTTAACCTACGGCTGTCTCAAGAAACCGGGAATGGTGATGGTATTAGGCGGGCAAGGACGATAATTTTTTTTTTTAAGTTGCGGGTACTATAGTCCACTTTTTACCCCAAGAGGATATTGCAAACAATAGGTTGAAGTTTTTCACAAGAATATGTTTCACCGTTGTGTACTTTACAGCCTGAAAATGTATGATAAGATCTGCTAATTCAATTTGAAATGTGAAAAATGTGAAAACTTAGATTTTTTCGGAAAATTACTGGTGGGCCAAATCTTTGAGGCTGGTGGGCCATTTCGGGTCACTGGTGGGCCATTTGGCCCACCAGTTAACATGTTAGCCGAGGCCCTGCAGTCACCCCCTCCCCCCAAGCTATAAAAGGGTGCACCACCCAACCAGAAAAGGAGTCAGAGTCGAGCAGCCGAGAGTCACAGTCCACAGCTGGAGCCGGAGACGCCATCTGGGAGCCACCGTCAGTCCGGGGTCACCCGCGAGAAGCCTCTTCAGTTCGAGTGATCAGAGCCGGAGGACAACCGCCGACGCTTGTGACCACACTGAGAAACTCCAGAATGTGAGTGTTGTTGAAAAGTCTGCTCAATCCCAATCCTTGAACCCCCCCCCCCCCCTCTGCCCGGTTGCCGTGCCAGTGACGACTGCCAAACATTTTCGGTTGCCATACAATGCACTCTCAATTGGAATTGGAAAACTTAAATTACTTTGAACTTATTGGTCCAGACACCCTAGTTGCATATTAGGATCTGAATTGTGAGGTCATGTCAGAGCCGCCAGTAAATAGGTACTATTGCTTCCAAATTAAGCTTGATTCGCGTCTGGCTCTAGTACTGCATTGAATACCCTCCCGAGCCCCTCCCGTATCGTCAGGGTAGCTGTCCCGGTGAG